GCCTACTTTTTTAAAAACTTTAACCATAGTCATAACTTTTGAATGATAGGGGCTAGGGCTTTCACACTTCACATTAGTAATTCTTGTAAGAAAACCTTTCATTGGATACCAAGAACTTTGACCCTTTTACTTTGACTTGAATTTGACGTACTTTTTAAAATTTGGGTACCAATATATTTGATCTGCGTTTAATAAACGTAAAATCTTTGCTTTGTTGCCATATGGGATCATCAGTGTTTCACAAACGCATCTTGTTTCTTTTAACTTTTGATTGAGATGAGACACAGTTTTCATATTTGACATGTGCATTACCTATGACAAGATATTTCCAAGCATGCTGTGATTTCCGACTCCTTGACCTTGGCCCTCACAATGGACCTTACTTTTTTTTTAAAAATCAATTTTGGTGATAATTTCTAAATGACATATGATAGGGCGTTCGTTCATATTTGATATCTCACCAAAAAGACATCCAAAGCGGAGGACCACAATTCTTCTTTGAATTTGCTTTTGTTTTTGCACATAATAGGTTTTGGAGAAATTCTGCTTCACGTTTGAAAACAAGAATAAAAACATCGTTTGTTGGTTCGTTTATGAAATATACAATCATGTGAAAACATTTTGTCAGACATTTTGTCAGAATGCGGAGATTTCTTTTCATTACCTGCATTTTAAAATCATGCAAGACTGTGTCAAAGTGTGGAGTGATGGAGTGATATTTTCTTTTTCATCGATAGCTGGTGAGAACTAGGAGTATTGTGCTATTGATAAATTGTTTAATCTACTCCGGTTATATTGAGATGGCGAATTTTTCCAGTGTTCGTAATATCGCTGGAATTTGACGTTTTCCTGGCACGAAAATATCAAAATCGTTAAAAAGCCTCGAAAATGTCAGATATTTTGTAGCCTTCAAAAGCGTTTTTACATGTAACCGTAGTTTTCATATAGTCCATACAAATATTTTCCAAATAATATAGTTTAACATTTTTAAAAATGACTTAATATAAATAATAGTTGGAAAATTCCAGGTTATCAATAGCGACCATTAAAACTTAGTTTCTAACAATATTATAATTATATACGTATATGAAATTTAGTTTCTTATAATATTATATATACTGCAGTAATTATAAGAAAATTTGGTTTTTACAATATAGGATCTTTTTATTTCGTAGAAGTGGGCTACATTATAGATTTCAGATAAAAAACAACATTTAACATTTAGTCAATGTCGCATCCTTCCGGTTTGACATACTTATAAGGAAGACAAACATATCAATGTGAAAATTGAACTACATGATTGTGTCCCAGTGTGTTTGTAGAATCTCACAGAAAGCAGTTGAAGAACCTGATGTTGTATTTTTAAAGGTATTGTACTGATCAAATCTCAATTGACTCAATAATAAGATGTAATCTGAATAAGAAAGGCAATTTAAGGAGAAACACGGTCTTGAGCTGAAAAAAATTCCATTCAATAATTTTTTTCGCATTTTTATATTACTTATTATGTACTTAACATTTTAAAACGGTCCTGTCATGAGATTTTTTGACTTAATTAAAAGATATCTCTTCACAAAAATCGCCATGTATAGTGTTCGTATGACGTTTCGGTACTTCATGTTTACTGGTCCTTAATACAATTTTTTACGCAAAAATAATAGGTATGTTAGAAAACACTATGTACTCAAATATTTCAGAATATTCATAGTGATTCGATTATCTGAAAGCATTTGTTTTAATTTCACATTGTATTTGGGTGGGATAATTTCTGCTCTTTTCAAAGCAGCTTCAGCGACAAAAACCTCATTCTGGATTGATTGATAGATTGATTGATTGATTGATTGTATACTGTTTAACGTCCCTCTCCAAAATATTTCACTGATATGGAGACGTCACCATTGCCGGTGAAGGGCTGCAAATTTAGGCCTATGCTCGGCACTTAAGGCCTTTGAGCAGGGAGGGATCTTTATCGTGCCACACCTGCTGTGACACGGGGCCTCGGTTTATACGGTCTCATCCGAAGGACCGCCCCATTTATTCGCCTTTTACGACAAGCAAGGGGGTACTGAGGACCTATTCTAACCCGGATCCCCACGGGGCAGTCAATATTACTAAATTTAAGACTGAATGTGAGTCCTTCATCGTAATTATTAACTTCACAAGAATCCTTACAAACGAAGATATATACTTAAAAAAAAAGAAACGCATAGTAGAATTTAGTGACACACTGAACATAAATATTATATAGTGATATGATGTGTTGATAATAAAGAAATGTGGTTTAACAATAGAAATGTTATCAAATTTCATCATTACGCAAGAATTTAAAAATCATAGGCAGTTTAAGATCCTTAAGATCAATATCTAGTATGCCCCCCCACAGACATAAATGATAGCCAAAAAACTGCATCTAATGGAAGCAAATGTGTGTAATAAAAACTGTATAGGAATACTCTCCCACTCCAAATGTAGACCTTTGGTCAACTGTTGCATAGTCTGGAAATGCGATTGTCTTTTGCAAATCATGTCAGGAGAAACGGATGTAAGGATTTCACAATACCTTAATTTTGGCAAGATCTTTAAGACTTTTAAATACTTTTTTTAGAAATAAACAAAGCAATTGTGATTTTGTTGTTCTTTTGAATAAAAAAGAACCAAAAATAAGTGTTAATTTATTAGCTGTTGACCTTTTTTCAATTGTAGACAGACAATGATTTATATTTTGTGATGTGATGTGATGCAAAATGGATAAAAGATTACATTGTGTATTACTGTGGTGTTTCCTCATCTTATATTTTTACTCACAAATAGAAGCACAGACTGGCGTTTGTAAAAAGTGGGTAGTCAATGTTAAATTGCTTTCTTTTCATTGTTTTTAATTTTTTTTTTTTAAAAAGTCATTGTTTTGGTTCCTCAGTAATTATAACTTTAATGAAATAATAGAGATCCATTGATATGCTGCCCAAATTACAGAGGAGTTGGTGGGAAATGCGTAGGTAAATAGTCTCTAAATTTCATCACATTTTTCATGAAAATTGAAGCTACGCATAAATATGAATAGCATAAATTCTGATAATATTTTTTTCTATATTTAACTAAGAATGCTGGCCTGGATTTTTTGGTTACAATTGTAACAGTACTTGTCCTGATGGGTTTTATGGGAAATTTTGCCTTGGGAAATGTAACTGCTCGTCATGTGACAAGATATCAGGATGTAAACAAAATTCAAGCTCACAGGGTAAATATTTGTACCTCAGAAATATACATATATTTCTATTCTTTGCATAAATGTTTTTATCTCTTGATATTAACCTATTACACTGCTTCTGTTTGCAAATTTGGAAAATATTAAGGAAAATGCTTTTCGACCCATTGAAATAGTTTAAAAGCGCTTGATCTTGCAAAACGTTTTAACAAGTATCTAAAGCCTTTTCCAAATAGTCAAACCTTTGGTTATATTACTTTCATAACGATTGAAGTTATTCAAAATCTCATAATTTATGCTAGTTTTACACAAAACAATAACATATATTACAACTCCTTTAAAAATTATTTATTAACTAAGATATCATTTGAAATGCTTCAATTTAGACAAATGCTGTATTTTGGTTATATATACAATTAAGTCGACAAAATAGATTAAAAATGTTTGGCAGTTTTTGTCATGACTTTAATAATTAATAGTCAAAATGAATCGTCAATACAATGAATACAATTATGTACACAAGGTATATCTACAATGATGTACACAAATTATCAATTTAATGATGTACACAAAGTATCAAATCAATGATGTACGCAAAGTGTATATTGAATAATTAACACGCAATGGGTACAATGATATTCAATGATAAACAATGAAATTAAATTAACGATGACCGCAAAGTGTTTATTTATACATTGGGTACAATTATATACAATGCTATTCAATGATATGCAATGATGGTACAATGATATTCAATGATAATCAATGAATTTCAATTAATGATGTACGCAAATTGTATATTTATACAATGGGCACAATGATATACAATGCTATTCAATGATATACAATGATATATTCAATGATATACAAGGATATTCAATGATATACACTGATTAATCAATTGCAAGGAGCACATATCAAGGTATTAGACAATGGTCTACATCGCTTTTTTCAATAGTATATGATGTAAAAATTATATTGGCACAATGATAATGGCACAATGTCGGAAGCTCAATTATTGGCCACGGACTCTTGAAGATAACAGGATCAGCATCGAGCTTCTAGCAAAATTCGATTCGGTCTAGAAAACAGCATGTAAGAAGACCATATACACTGTATTTTAATGAGACTTAAGGTGTATTATCTCTCTGAGAAGAGAGGTAACTTTCTGAAGACATTTTTACATGAAACTCAGTGATTTGTTATGTCAGATTCTACAGGTTTCATTTAAAAGAACCATTCTACAGTCAACTCAGTCACATCTGCTTTATCTTTCAAATATTGATTTCTATTTCTATTGCCAATATTTTCATTAAGGTCTTCCGTTTCCAACGGAAGACCTTCTACTGATTCTGAAGATTAAGATTATTCTTATTATTCTTTTTTTTGTTTTCTTCCTAGACGCCAACTTTAAGGCCTCATATCTCACTCAATTCTCAATGGATTTTGCTCAAATTTTAAGACATTATAGACGGTAATAAACTCTATCAGAATGCTGTCGATGATTTCAAAAAGTCACTTCCGGTTTTGAGTTATTTCCCTTTAAACGAAAAATTATAGGCTTTCATTTCCAGACAAAGGCTCAGAGACCACTAGAGCTGGAGCAGAAATTTTACTGGGTTTAGATAACAGAAGGATTGAAGTTGTGCACATCGGTTTTTGTTTTTCGATTTCTCTATTCAAAATGGCGTTATACAGGGGTCAAAAAATAGAACGCCTAAAAGAGCGAAAATTTACACATGTTTTCCTTTTTATCTTGAAAACTAAAAATATTTTGTTAAGACATGTTGAACAAAAGTTGTGAATAAATGCAAGGGCTTTCATATCATACTATTCAAAAGGGGCTGGCCCCTACGATTAGGGATTTAGGGAGCTTGAAAGTTTTTGCTTTATAACTCAAAAATGGTAAATATTGCGATCTGGATTATACGAACAAAATTGCTCTTTGACACCTTTTTAATCTGATGAAAGTGTTTTGTGTTCGATTATACCGGGGGTATTGCGTAATACGTAGTTGAAAGCAGGCCAGGTAAACAGATAGTGTTTTTCATTCGGAAAGGAAATCAGACCTCTTCATGTGTATAATTTACACAAACTTCCTATCAGTAATACACCCTATAGTATTTAATTTTAATTTTCTTCTAAATAGGGCTTTATACGTGCTTTACGGTTCACTATTAAATTATTTAACGATTAGTCTTTCTTTTTTATTTATTATTAATCAGTTTTATAGTGAACACGTCTTCATAAACGGAATATATTAAATCTATCTTTCTACATTGATTATTATAACAATTATAAGTTATTTTAACTCTATGCATCGAATAATTCACGATCATTAGTTGTATACATTTGGCGATCTCCAAGATCGCCTAGATGTTTGTAACAGTTATGTAATCCAACACCCGAATCCCACGCTGTCGATCGAGGTCACTAGTGTACCAGCCACCTGTCGTAAACAATGCAAGTGTCTGTGATCGTGTTTAAAATCCATTGTGTCCAAAGACCTATCAATTTATAGAAAATCATGTTTTTGATTTATCGAATCAATAAAAATACTTCACCGATCTTTCATTTAATCGTAATTCGAAACACTGGTGCATAAATTATTTTGAATTGTGATCGCTTTCTTTGGCCTGTTCACGCAAAAATTATTTCTCTATTCCGTGTTAATGTATTTTATTTAAATTGTAATTGAAAAGAGGCTTCGGCAAATAATTATAATTAGTGATGGAAGTCTTGTGATACGTAATGTACTATTATGTACGTTTTATTTTTACCATCACTCTTTTGTTTCTCCATTATTTTTTTTTTTATATTAATAAACATTGAACGTTAAAAAAAATACTTTAAAATATACTATTATTCACGTATTTGTAATAAACAGTTTACATCCAGCTTTGTCGCTTTGTGTCTAAAATTTTGTAGCCCAGTCCTCATTTACAAGCACGTGTCCGCAGATAGCAGCGGGTATGTCGATTTGAATATCAGTTGTGTACTCCGATAATTACAAATGGAAATTTGGGTTTGAAATCATCATGATCATGTCGACTCCTTTCATATCATTCAATTTCACTCTATTTCAGCTTGTTTTAATCAATCGTAATCGCTTGTGCATTTATTCATTTCAAGTTTTATGCTTTTTGATAGCCGAAAAAAAACACAAGCTAGGTTTACACCATTTTTCCCTGTATTAATCGAAGTGGTAATTGTTTTATGAATCTTAAACTACATGTACGCATGCATGATAATTGTAAGTGGATTTAACGTTTCTAATTCACAGGGGGAAATCCATCATGAAATTTAGCACTTTTGAGTTTGCAGTTATTTGCTACTAAACTTAAAATGATATTGTACAGAATGGTATACGATTTCGTCCAATAAACAGAATATTTTATATGCCTGTACATGTACAATGTCAGTACGAATTTAATTGATGCAAAGCATCAAATTGGCTGCAAAGCAGAAAAATTCTTTCACATGCAGGAAAGCACGTCAAGATATTCAAAGCTGAAATAGTTTTTCAATTCTATTTCTGGCTGTTTTCAAAGGAAAATAAAAAATAATTTTACCGCATTTGCTCATAAATAGATTTATCGATGTTAAAAAAAAATCATGTTCATTGATGTATGAGAAGAATTTGTTGTCATCAAAATGAAGGTGTAGGCCTGTCCGAGCCTCGATACCCTGGATCTTGATTACGTGATAATGCTCATGGTTTCTGCAGAGCAGGCTATGCTGCAAACCGGTGCAAAATTAAAAAAAAAAACATCTTCATGATCTTTGTGTCATTTGTAGATGTAGAGCAAATTCAAAACAATTTTTACTAGAAGTTGAAAAACTCCTCATTTTTTTATTCACCATGCACTTTAACCACATCATCATTATCCGGAAAATCAAGAGATTTCTTTTCAAATCTTATACACTCTCAGGCTGGGGAGTATCTGATGTAAACTCTTTTTATATGACCATAAATTATCGATGATCATGAGATATTAATGACAATGAAATTGAAATATATTTCAACATTTAATATTAAGTTTAAGCAAGTTTTTAAAATATTTTACGCATGATTTTTACTTGTTATAATTTACGAATTATTTAATTGAAGTAATAAAAAACGTCTCATTTCCCCATGTGCACTCTCTAACACAATCACATAAAGACTGGCCGCTACCGCAGCCGATAATAATTACATGTTTTATATGTATGAACTTTTACATAGAAGAGCGGCTAAACATATACATCCAGAGCTTTCAGAATACGATTTTACAAAATTAGAAAATTCGTTATTGTCTATTTATCATAAAATATAAATTAAATTCTTTCCTTAATTATTGAATTCCTATGTATTTAACTAGGTACTTAAATTATCGATTCGCTCTGATATTTGGTTGTATAATGATTACAATGTATATATAAACGTCCATCTGGTCAGTCATGTTGCTTGACGACGTCTTGTTTTCTCCTCTCACATTGGTAGCGCGTATGAACAGTGGTATGAACACAAGCTTGTAAACAAAATAAACGGCAATTCACAAAAAAGGAAAACCAGAAGAAAAAAGTGTCTGTGTAGGTGAAAAACACAACTCATTAATTTGTTTTTGAACGACCCCATACGTTTTTTTCTTTCTCCCATGCATTTCGACTATACGGGAAAAAAAATCACTAGAACCTTTGGTTATATTAAAAGAAAGGTGTTGGACCTTCAAACGGCACTATATCCGAACAGCTATTATACAGCCTATCAAATATATCACGGCGTCAATAAAAGAATTATTTAGATATTTCAAAAAATACTAATTTCATTCTAAGAAAAGCCACGCAGCTATATACAGACTTTCCAAAATAATGTTTCATGGACCGACAGGTTGTTAAATTCCTCTCATCACTATAAGTACCCCATCCCTTAAAATGAATACAATGTCTTCCTTCTAAGCAGAGAATGTCAGTCGGTTGATTTGTTTTTGTACATGCATATATACATGTAGTTTAGGGGTTGAATTCCGAGACTGAAAGTTACGACCTATTCTTATGTAAACCAGTAATCATACATGACATGTAATGCCCTGCCATGAATATGGCCAAGGCATTTGGTGTTTGTCGGACGTCTTCCATCCTTCCTACTTTCTGTCCTTCCTTCTCTCCTTCTGTCACACTTTGCCTTTAGCTCAGTTCAAAGCTCAGTTTCAAACAAACTATCCAAGATATTTTTATCAATCTTTATATACTGATAGTAATTAATTAGAGTTATGCAATTGCATTAACATTTTTTTAAACTTGACTTTATATACATGTATATACCTCACTTTTCTTAAATTAGTGTTTAGCTCAGTTTTAAACATATCATTCAAAATGGTGTTATCAAACTTCACATGTTGATGCATACTGATGAGAGCTATTTAATGGCATCACCATTTTTGAACTTGGCCTTTCTTTTGACCTTGACCTAACTCTATTTATCTCAATTTTAGCTCTAACGAGAGTTAGTTATTGCTTAGCACAAGGTCATTTGGAAAGATCAAGGTCACACGTACTAGTATTCCTTTACAGTCTTTTTCCTAGCGAAACATTGTAAGTTGCTTCTCTTACAAGGTTTTTTACTTGTATATCTTTAGTATGTGGCTTTTGACCTCGACTCAAGGTTACGTCTTCTAGTCCGTAGCTCCAAAGGAAGACCTATTCGTTGCTTTGCAACGAGCTCGGCTCTAGTTAATTATTTATAATAATTTACCTAATACATTCATACATAGTTCCTTTAAATGGTGTAAATTGAAATATTTACATTTCTTACAGAAATTCCAGATGCAAAATTGTTTATAAACATTTGATAAATATTTTCAAGGGCCAAAATGGAAAGATAACTCTTGGTGATTGGTGCGCACTATTTTACAAGCACAGAAAACAGTTCGATATTCTGATTTAAAAGCAAAACTTCAGTATGTTTTCTAATGAGAATATGATAGGTATGAGAGTATATATTATTTACATTTAAGCCTCATATTTCTTATTTTATTTCTTGTGTTCTAAAATTGACGTCATCTCGCCTACTATGACGTCATAACGTAGCATTGGTTTAGTCAAGGTAGAATATTTTGTATGCTTCCTTATTCCCCCTGCCTAATATTCATTTCTGGATAAAAAAAAGTAAGCAACGCTTAATGCGTCCAACTATTTTCCATTTAAATCTAATGCTATTGTTCTTGATGAAAATCAATGTTTGGAATTCTAAAAAAAAAATTGGTGAAATTGGGAGCAGAGGAATATTTCACTTAACTGATATTAAGTTTAGCCAGATTAAGGTAATAAATAAGATAACTTGCATATGTACATTAATGAAACAACTCTGCCAGAAACATCCCAAACAGAAGAAGATATCGTTACCGCGGACGCTGAATGGCTAAGTGTTGCTATGTTCGTTTCCGGAAATGCTGGTCTCTGTTTTGAAATTGACTTAATAGACTATCATAAACCGATGTAATGTTTGGTTACGGTTACTTGTCTTCATATTTCAACAGCTTTAGACAACATCAAAGTAGGGCTAGACCTTAAAGTACAAAAAATATATACTGAAAGGAAAAGGAAACGCAGGGTAACATAATATGCGAACTTTTTTTACCACATGACCAAAATTACAAAAATTGGTCAAGTGAGAATCTTTGTTACCATGCACTAAAATCAGTGTTCAGTATTACTCATCCGTGAAATGTAAGACGTCACGTCGGAAAAGTGCTAAAAAGCCAAAAACACGACAAGTTTGTCAACTATCTTTTGGTACCATTTCATACACTTGAGGTATACACACTGATTTTCAGTATTTATAGACAAAATGCATTATTGCAATTTTGTAACAATCGACGAAAGTTTCATGGAGCCTGGCTTTTACATTGCCGAAGTAAGAACAAAAGCATCAACGGCTTTATTTGCAGTAGTTAGTAAATCGTCCACCGTAGGACGTCTTAACCGTCGTCATAGAGGGCCTTGGAATGGTTTTCAATCATCCGTGACGATGACGTTGACGCGTAACAGAACCACATAAATATCGGGTTATTCGTCCTGCCACCTGATAAGAAGGATATGAAGATAACGAACAGTATTCATTCTCAAAGTCCATAAAACAATACAAAATAAGAGCAGAGCAAATACGAATAAATCACTACTTTACTACCACAAAACTGCTATTAATAGCGTAGATTTTCATAATCATTACATTCACCATCAAACTGAAATAAATCGATTGTGCGATTTGAATCTTTTAGCTGGTCAACTTTACGTTTGGATTCTTCTCACTTGCGCATGCGCGTACCGCTTGCCTATTTTTTTTCGGCGTGTTTACCTTCGATACATTGTACGCTAGATTTATCAACTTTCTAGAAAACGATCACATTTATCCACTCGCCTAGTCTCCAAAAAGTCCATCTTTTTCTCAGTGAACATCTGTGGGACTTAGTGGAAGATAGGGTACTTCGAAATGCCAAAGATAGTCCCTTTCAACTAAGGGTTATCTTGTTGAAAACTGTTGAAAAATATTCCTATTTGTAGGAAAAACACACTGATGAACTCCATGCAAATGAAAAACAAGACTATGACGGATGCGTGAAGGAGACATTGAAGATAATGTGAATTTTCAATTGTCACATTTGGGGGATATCGTCATATCAGTTTCAATAACTTAAAAATTATGAGGCAAAGTCAAATGAAATTTTGGTTACAATTTTATTAAAGATGATTTTAAACGTTAGATAGAGCTACTAGAAAATACATGTACATTAGGAAAAATAAAATTATTTCACCTCTCGCTTTTACCTTGCGTTTCTTTTTACTTTCAGTATATAAAGATTACTTACCACAGCCCATATTTTTTTTAAAAGTTTATGCTCTTGTTTGTGTAATGTATGAAAGTTTATATCTTTAAAAGCACTCTTAACATTAATCTTTTCTTCTATCTGCAAAAAAAATTGACAAATGGAAATGCATAGAGATTGAAAAGAACAATAGTATGATTTTTAGTAATAACATGAAGGTCATTCTCTAATATTATCTATACTTGTAGTTACCTGGTATCTTATAATTATGAATTAATATAAAATAGGAAGATTATGGGCAACATCATTTTCCTATTTTCTTATTTTTATTTTTAAATCAATGTCTGATATCAGGCATATAAAGTAAGGATAAACACATGATGTTTTCATTGAGGAAACGGTGTTAACCTGTCTAGAGCAAGACATTTGTCAAGCAAAGAAAATTTGCTATGTGACTATCATTCTCGTTCCAAGGTTCAGCAATTCCTGGAACTGGCTACTTGGGCGGACAGACATCCAGTAGAAACGCATCCTCTTCCGCATTTTCCATCTTGATCGGCGTAAAAGGGAAATTACCAACCCTGGATATTTCATTGGAGATCATCTTTTTATTTCTGATGCATACAGCATTCGGGGACAAATTTTAACAGTTACTTTAAAAAATATGTAATGATAAATCAAATGAAAACCTAGTTTGCGTACATAGGAGTGTGACAAACGTTCCACCTAGGCAAGAACACGTGTTTTCGGACATAATTTGCCAAAGTTAATATCGTTGTCGGTGAATAAACCTTTTGTGACATATTCAGTCCAAGGCATATGTTGATCCCTGGTTTGGATTTAATAAACGGTTCATTTGTGGCATATCTATTCCCTCGGTAGCCGTTGTTCTACTAATAAACTGACTTGAGTGGACTCAATTACTTTGGTGAAAGACAGGTAGGGCATACGTGTATGTTTATTTCTGACTTGGAATTTTTCATCTAGTTGTACATTTATGACTCTTGGTTTCATTTTGCACATGGCAGGACATACGTTTATTCCTATCTGTTCATATGTGTAGAACTATTATACAAACATTCAAAAGGACAAGCAGGGCATATGTTTATCTCTGCTGTCATAAATGTACAATTACTCTTTGATTTGACAGGTATAACTGCACTTTGCCACTTTATTTTGCTTTTTTTCTTGGGATCTGAACTTTATTAAAATTAATTTAAAGTATAAATTTAATCAAGTATTTGGCGGTTTCTCCATTCATTCATTTAGTCTCTCAAAAAAAAAACATATACATGGTACAAGAGGTACATATTTACATATTTACAATAATTATGGACGAGCAGAAATTACAGGATGACAGTGTCAAAATTTTTTTGTGAAAAATATATACAATTTTCGTAAAAATGCTGGATCTGTACTTGTCATCAAATTACAGAATTTTATTATATTTGGATGTACATAGTATTTCTGCAACAAAAAAATCTTTATGAATACAATATAATGCATTACATTCCAGTAAATAATAATAATTAGTCTCCTATCTAATTATAATTACATAAATTGCACACTCTTTCATTTCTTTCCACGTTTTTTCAATCAACCCATCTCTATTGGAGTACGATGGTTACTTGTTCTGAATTTTGAAAAGATATTTCTAAATTTTCACATTTAAACTTTGTTCTAAAAATTCTATATGTAATACCTTTACTGGAATCATTCATATTATTATACAATTTCTTATACAATTTCTGTAAAAACTGGTTTTTGAGCTTTTGGTTTATTGCGGTTGCAATCCATTTGACACTTTGAAAATGTTGAGTAGTCCAAATATTACAGAGCCTCGTTGTATTAAGAATATTCTGTATGAAAGATATCAATGGATTACTAATCCCATTTTTGATGTATTAATTATAAAGATATAAATAAATAATTCTACATTTCCATGAATCAGTTTTCCCCAGAAAGCTTTCATTCTTGTATAAATGCGCACATACATCGGGTAACATCTCTTTTCCCTGTTTACCATAAAACTCGATGAACTAGATTTCAAGTTTAAAATATACTTCAAAAATCTGAAATTTAGACGTCTAATAAAATCAATATTTTCAAATCCAAATATTTCACATCCATAAAACAAAACAGGAACAATAACTTTATCAAACAGATCTAGCTGACAGTCCAGATATAAATTACCAGGTATATAAACGAATTTTTCTAATAATGCCGTACATTGCCTTTTGTGCTTGATTACAATTATAGTGTTTCTTTGCCTTTGAAAATGACCCTGATCTTGAGAATAAAATACCTAGTAATTGAAATCTTTTACAGTTTCTTAAACATCGTCATTGAATTTGAATTTATATTGAGTGATCGGCCTTTTGAAAAAAATGACAATTTTTGTTTTCTGAAGGATATGGAGATAACGAACAGTATTCAATCTCAAAGTCCATAAAACAATACAAAATAAGAGCAGAGCAAACACGGACCCCCGAAACATCATAGGTGGGATCAGGTGCTTTGGAGGAGTGAGCTGCCGGCCGGTCATACCCGCCGTGTGCTCCTTGTCATGATCAGGAAATAACGGAAAAAATCCGTCGTCAATTCAATTCAGTGTATAAATAATGGACTGACAATTGGTATGAAAAACGTCAGTCAGCATTTGACTCGATGATAAATTGTATTTGCTGACAAGGTCATTGTATCGACCATAGAACTTACGAAATGATGACTTTAAATAAGACTGTTGATATTCTTGTTTCATCAACTTGCTTGTCAATAGTTTGTCTCGTTCTAGAAATTGTTCATACGTAGAGCATGCTCTTGCGTATCGAATCAACTGAGATATATATACTCCGTATGCAGGTGATGAAGGTATATTGCTGCATAAGTAAGGGAAGTTGACGACAGAAGTCATCACGGTTATCATATAGCTTGGTTGTTAGATTACCATTAGTGTCTTTTTCAAGTAAAATATCCAAGTATGAAACAGATGTATCAGACTCTGTGGTATCTTTTATCTTAAGCTTATCAGGATATATCGAATCGACGTAGGAATGGAAATTACCATTATTAATTGACAATACGTCGTCGATATATCTAAATGTCGAGTTGAAGGCCACAGCAAGTGTTTTCCTCTTTTCACACATAAGATTGTGCATAAATTCTGCTTCATATGAATATAAAAATACGTCTGCTAATAACGGAGCGCAATTTGTACCCATGGGTATTCCAAAAGATTGTTGGAATACCTGGCCTCTAAAAACCACATAGATATTGTCAATCAGAAACTCAAGCATCTTCTTGATGTCAACTTCAGAGTACTTATGTGTGCAATCAGAATCTTCTGATTTTTGAACATTAACATGGAGTTTCCACGTTTTGCAATATATAGAAAATTCATTTAATGCTTGTTGTAGATCATTTGTGGTTTAACACAAAATAACAGCATCATCAGCATAAAATAATGAAAACAATTTGATAAAAATGTTAACGTCATCTTCAATCTTTTTAAGAAAAATTCTCAAAACCGTTAACATTCCTTTCTGTAAGACAACTTTCTAAGTCAGACCACAAGAATGTTCGATATATTATGCAATTAATTACGCCACATATAATGTAATCACGGTTTACATATTAATCATATTCATAATTCGGTTTCATTCTGTTTTGAATTTTTGATAAAAATAATAAATAGTTTATTAATAATTTATGGAAGAGTGCAGTAATGTGTAAAAGATCTGTCATTAAGACCAAGACGAACGGAGAACTCTGGCTTTCAGACGACGTTACCAGACAGAATGCTATGCTAATCGAACGCCTGAAAAAACATCGCAGGATTGGTAACGCATGGTACTTCAACGGCAGTGTCTATGGTGAATTAAAGAGCAATAAACAGAGGGTTAGATTTGAGATCCTAGATAATATCGATGAAAAGATAGAAGAAAGTGAAAAATGAACGGATAACTATTCCGAATTTCTATTTGCCACGTTCAGAACTCTGTGTACTAGTATTCGTAGAGACTGTTCCGGTATCGTTTTGGCTATAAATATTCACCGCAGAACATTATGTGAAAGGCTTTAGGGACTTAACCAACCATTTTTGAACTTAAAATGTGTTTTTATACGTTTCTTTCCTATTTCTTCTTTCCTATACTTTCCTCACCTTCTTTTGATGTATAATGGCTCCACGCTCTCAAAGGTAATGTTTACTTTATAGATAAGGATAAACTTAAAAATTTTATCTGTTAAATATCAGGGTCTAGGGGATATAGCAAACGTCGAGATGTTTTTAATTTTTTTAAAGGATTAAATTATAATATATACTGTTTACAAGAAACACATTTTACTCCCAACTCTGAGAATGATGTTAAAAATGTATGGGGTTTTGATTGTTATTTTAGCTCATTTTCCTCAAATTCGAGGGGAGTAGCTATTCTTATAAATAATAATTTTGATATACAGACTTTAAAACAAAAAGGGGATGCTGACGGAAACTATCTCTTTCTAGAATTCAAAACAGAGGAAAAAAAGCTGCTTCTTTGTAATATTTATGGCCCAAATAATGATAATCCAGACCTCTATGAAAACATTCAAACTTGTATAGATGATTTTAACTGTGATAATGTAATTATAGCTGGTGATTTCAACCTTGTATTGAACCCAGATATTGATTATTATAATTACAAACATATAAATAATCCAAAAGCAAGGCAAAAGGTTCTTGATTTTATGGATGATGGGGGATATATCGATATATACAGATAGTTTGATCAAGTCACTCTAAGATACACATGGAGGGGAAAAAATCCACTAAAACAAAACAGACTTGATTTCTTTCTGATCTCAGAAAATTTAATGCCAAGTGCAATAGGATATGTACAATTGAAACATGTTATAGGTCTGATCATTCCATGATTAGTTTATCTTTAGCTTTTAATGATTTTATAAAAGGTAGAGTTCTTTGGAAATTTAATAATTCCCTTCTTAGTGATGAGAAATTTCTTGATACTATAAATGACGTCTTTAAGAATGTTAAGAAACAGTATGCTGTACCTATATATTTAATGGAAAACTTACAGCAAGTTAATGATGAAGAATTGTCTTTACAATAAATGATCAATTGTTTTTAGAAACCCTACTCATGGAAATAAGAGGAAAATGTATTTCCTATTCCTCATACATGTACAAAAAGAAACTAACAAAGCAAACAGAAGAAAAACTTGCAGAAGAAATAAAATATCTTGAAGAAACAATACATACTATTGCTGACAATGTTGAACTCTTAGAAGAAAAAAATAAAGAATTAGAGGATATAAGAAAACAAAAGATGAGGGGTGGTTTAATAAGATCTAGGGCAAGATGTGTAGAAGAAGGGGAAAAACCATCACACTATTTTTGTAACTTAGAGAATAGAAATTTCACAAGCAAGATAATTCCAAAAATAGAAACAAAAATGGTAACATTATTTATAAGCAGGCAGAGATTTTGAATGAAGCTAAAAAATATTATGAATACTTATATAGAGACATAGATAATTCTATAAACGATATCAATGATCTTAATGATAATTAAATTTTCCAAATATTGCTAAACTTTCAAAAATAGAGTCCTTGGAAACAGAAGGTAAAATAACATTAAAAGAAGCTTCAGAAACACTCTATAATATGAAATCAAATAAATCGCCAGGTTCAGATGGCTTTACATCAGAGTTTTTTAAAGTATTTTGGAAGTCCATTGGTATTTTTGTAGTAAGGTCCATTAATTATGCCTATGAGAATAAGACTTTAAGTATTACACAAAGACATGGTATAATAACCTGTATACCAAAAGATGATAAACCCAGACAATATCGAAAAAATTGGGGACCTATTTCGCTACTTAATACTGTTTATAAAATTGCATCTGGC